GAAGGCGGCCTTTTCACAGATCTGCAACTCTGAAAAGTTTTTTGAATGCAGTACAGAAAAAAAAAAAAAAAAGGTAAGTATGTTTAAGTTTGCTTCTTTATAACTTCCTTTACAAACATAGAAATGCATCCAAACAACTTTATTCTTGCAACATAATACTAATTGTAAGTGATCCTGGCAAGTCCCACTGTTGCCTTTTATTTAAACCACCTGAGATATGTAAGAACTGCAAGGCTCTTTTTCAAGAATGCTTTTTTTTTTTTTTTTTAAAGTGATGATATCAAGTTTGATTAAGTTCCAGTGGGTTTTTTTTTTTGCTTGTTTGTTTGTTTGCTTGCTTGCTTTTTAGGTGGCTGCTAAAGCTCAGGCAGCTACTGACTATATGAATCTAAAAATCTGGCAAGCAAGAAGGACTGGTTGACAATCTATCTGCAATTTGTGCTTTAATTGTAAGTGCAGTCTCTTGTTGTATATACTGGACTGATGCCACTGTTGCAGAGCCAGAAGAGAGCAGATGCTGCAGATGAAGCTCCAGCCTCATTCTGGTCAGCCACTATCTGAGTGCATGCAGCTCTCCACTTTCTCTCAGCAGAACTCCTTTGCCTTTTAGAAAATCCCATTGATTTATCTTCACTCAAGAGTTTGTGCCTCCAGAGTTCCACGTCTCATCCAGAAAGAGCATGTTTATTTTGTTGCTGTTACAGAAAAATAATGAATTCTGCATTTTCACCAATAGTAAGAGAAACTGACAATAAGAACATCATGAGAAAATACTACAGATCTCATTAGTTATCATAGAATCATAGAATGGCCTGGATTGAAAAGGACCACAATGATCATCCAGTTTCAACCCCCCTGCAACGTGCAGGGTTGCCAACCACCAGACCAGGCTGCCCAGAGCCACATCCGGCCTGGAAGTCTAGATGCTCTTTCATGTTGTTTGGCATCTGCTGCATTTGGCATTTAGATGCCTCTAATCTTTCCTTGAAAGACCAGATCAAAGGAGGTGAGGTGGAAGTGAAGTATTGGCTATGTGGAGCTTCCTTCCTGGAGAGGAAATTGGAGTGCTGAATTGTTTTTAAGCCTAAGAAATACAACAAAATCCTGAGTCGTGCTGCCTTTTAAATGTCAGTGAAATTAGTAGAAGGGAGGTTCCATTGTGTCTACTCGATTCTGATAGTGATGATGCATAAGCATTGGTTTTATATTTCTGAGATGAAGATGGCAGAACTGTCTGAGATCACAACTTTGCCTGGAGAGAATACGAGATGAAAACCTGAGGTTTCACTGATGTCCTTACTTGTAGATGACCTGTAGAGAAGTGCAGGAAGGCAAATGGATCTGAACAATAAAGAGAGGCTGGTGCTAAAGGATAAATGCCTGAGCACTTGGAAGGACTCACTAGGAAGTTCAATGGCAAGTAAGTACCACAGCAGGGTGAGGGCTCTGCTGGACTGCTGTGCAAAACCACTCGATGGCTCTGAAGATGATGAAATGCCACAAAGATGGAGCAGCTGACGTCTGAGGAGAGGCTGAGAAGTCTGAGGAGAAGCTCTGAGGTGCTTACTGGTGTGCCCTTACCGGTGGAGGAAGAAGGAGCCATGCTCTTCCCCATGGTACCCAGTGACAGGACGTGAGCATCAGACACCAACTGAAATACAGACGCGTTAAGCATAAGAAAAACGTGTGCTAACGGCCGCCCCTCCTCTCCTTCCCTCGACACCGCGGCTCCCGCCCTGCCGGCTGCCCGCGGCCGCCCACGCGTCGGTGTGGGCTCCGCGCCGCAGCAAGCACCTAGGACAGCTCCCGCCCGCGCCGCCTATTGGTCCGGGCGCGTCACGTGACCGTGCCATGCCGCCGGGGGGCCGCGGCCGCCGCTGATTCATTGGCTGTAGCGGGGCTCGGCTCGGCTCGGCTCGGCTCGGTTTGGTGCGGCGTTGCAGCTACTGCCACCGCCGCTGGGCGGCGCCACAGCAGGTAGGGCGGCGGCGGGCGGTGTGGCGACGGGGGCTTCTCGCGGCGCTGGTGGGGCGGGCAGCGCTGTGAGGGGGCGGCGCTGCGGCGGTGGGGGAGCGTGAGGGGAGCCTCCGGGGTTATGCCTGCGTCTCTGCAGAAGGCTCGGGGCGGCTTCGGCGCTGCGGGACGCGTTGGCTGCGGAAAGGCTGCTGTCTCACTCCTCCGAGCGGCTCCTCCAGAGCCCGCGTCTGGAGAGGGGAGCACCAGCTGGAAACGTACCGCCTCCGTAGGAAGCCTTACCGCTTGGGTGGGATAAAAAAGTTTTGTCCTTCGTACTGATGAGCGTGTGAGCGAACTTGAAAATCTAACCCAGAATGTCTGCAAAAGAGAAAGGGGGGGAAAAGAAAGTTTTCTGGTCCAGCGGAGGCAGTGCCGTCAGAGCGGCCGTCTGGATGCGCGCTGCAGCACCGAGCAGCTGCTCCGGCGCTTCCCAGACGGCTGCTCTGCTCTGCTCTGCTTTGCTCTGCTCGGGAGCGGTTCCCTTTGCTCTCCTCCGAGCCCTCAGAGATGGAGATTTACATAACCACGGCGGAAATAAATCGCTGTTTTGCCCAGTGAGGCTGTGGGTGTCCCCTCCGTGGAAGCATTCAAGGCCAGGCTGGATGGGGCTTTGAGCAACCTGGTCTAGAGGGAGGTGTCCCTGCCTGTAGCAAGGGGTTGGAACTAGGTGATCTTAAAGGTCCCTTCCAGCACAAACCGTTCTGTGATTCAGATTCCTAATCAGAGCGTGAAGTCAGATTTCTACCGCAGGATCCAGCCCCTGGAGGGGGTCAGGCAGGCAGCAGACCTACAGACTGCCTCAAGTAATGAGGCAATCTAATGCATCAAGCGCAGGCAAAACGGTGTTAAATACATCAACCAAAACATCCAGTGTGTGAGAAGAGCTGGGCAGAGTTCTGTGCTTGTTCTATCACTGTTCATCTACCCCACTCATTGTGGTAGAAGAGGTTTTAAGGTTAAACTCAGATGATACTCTTGCAGTTTAAATCAAGTTTCCAGTCCCCAAGCCAGTGGTGTGAGCCGTTGCCGGCAAGCTTTGAACACAAATAAATTAAAGCTCTGTTGTGCATTCTCACTGCAGTGGGTCCTGGCTGTGCTGCTGTTTCCTTGGGCTCTCGTTGCTTGTTTGTTGTCTGGTGCATCACTGGGATGAGATGGAGAGTAGGATGAGAGCGTTCAGATTTGTGCTTGGGAGTATTTACCTGAGATTGTATTTGAGGCACTACAGTACATTGTTTGCCTCTTCCATAGCACCAGAGTGAAGGGTTAGATCTGAAGGCAGGTAAAAACAGTTCTGGCTTGGAAAAACTCCGAGCCAGTCTGCCCTTTGGAAACACTCCATTTCAGTGGCTGCTGGAAATGTTTGCTGATTGCGTTGGTGGTGAACTGCAGGAGTTCAGAACACATTCCACATCCCAGTGTGGAAGTTTACAAGAGAAGCTGTGTTACTTATTTTATTTTGTTCTTGAAGAAACATAATACCTCAGTGACTTTTCAAACTGAAAAGCTCAAGCACTGCTTTGCTTCCCAGAGATGATGGCTTTAGAGACCCACTCTGCTTTTCAGCTCTGGTGCTTCATTGATCTTTCTCATTGATGCACAACCAAGACAGCTCTGAGCTGAGGGTGAAAATAAGCATTTATTAGGAGAAAAATGAAGATTTCTTTGCCAAGTGAACGTAGTTTTGAAAACTGAGGAAAATAATGCTGCCCAAAAACAATGCATTCAGGGCAGGTCCTCTGCAGCTTTCCTGCATGGCTCTGACCTCCTTGTTGGACATGCTGGAGTTGTCTTGCTTGAGGCTTTTCTGTAAAAAGCTCAGCCTGGAACCTCTCTCTGTGATATTTACTGGAGGGTTAAAGCCAAACAAGTTGTGGTGCAGAAGATTAAAAATGAGCAGAATTCTAAGCTGCTGAGGGACTGGCAAGCTATCCTTTTAGTGAGGTGTTGAATGACTGTACCTTTCTGTCAGCATTCGTAAAAATATAGGAATGCAAAGATGTCAGTGGTTGATGGCTCCCTGGTAGGGCTTTTCCTAGTCTGACTAGTGTTGAAGGACCTCAGGTTGTGGAGCTGCCATATGTGCAGGACTGAGAGGATGGGGACACAGGTGGACCTGGAGCTCTCCTCCAACCACAGCTGTGCTGTATTTGTGAGCCTGCTGCTCCTTGTAAGGTCAGTGCTGTGCAATGGTGGGGTTTGGCTGGCAATGAATAGCTGAAAGGATAACCCTTGCTCTTTACAGTGGCTCTGAAATTAGAAACTGTTTTTCAGATATAGCTTTCTTTCTTTAGAAAAATAGCCTTTGCTTAGAAGGAAGATTTAGTCTTGTTCTGCTATGACTAAAACAGCTGTCAAATTGTGTGTTTTTTTGTGGAGATGTATTATTTGGGTGGAAGTGTGAACACTTGTAATACTTCATTTTGACACTCAGGATGGCAAAATCTGATATGGTTTTTGAACTCAACTGAAGCTAGGCTCTGAAGCCTGAAGATAGATTGAATGTAAAATCCTGTCCTGGCTGCAGGAAATACATGGAATTATGGCTAATATCTCTTCTTTTGGTTGTAGATAATGCTTCTTAGAATTGCCTATTCTGGTTGTAATTTTTCAGGCTTTTGGTACCACATTTACACTAAGCTAGCTCCTTCAACGCATGGCTCTCTGCTAACTCTGACAATTCCCTGTACCACTATTATCAGCTCAGGATTGAAACTTTTTAAGAATAGAAGGAATATATAGCTTTTATGATGTCTTGTTAGGTACAATTTAACTTTCTTTAAAGACAAGACTTAAAAGTGAGCATGCACAGTATCAACTTTTTCTCAAATCCATTCATTGCCTGTGAGTGCAGTGCAATATGATTTTGTATATTTTTCTGCCCATCTTCAGGTGGCCCCTACTGAGCTGAGCTGAGAAGTGGGCACTGGTGTTTGCAAATATGTTTATGATCTTTTAGGAAAATACTTAGCCAACTGTTTTTGTCTTTTATACGTTAAACTTTATTTAAAATTCATACAGTAATTGCTTTTAAACTAGGCACAAATGTGGCAGCAATGCAGTTTGCATGCAAACTGTACACAATGGTGTGGAGGCCTCCTATGCTGCAGCAAAGCTACACAGTACATGAAGTGTTCAAGGAAAACTAGACGTATTTGTTGGTAATTCATATGCATGTTCTATGAGCACTTTGTTGTGATGGAGTCTAGTTTACACTTGACAGAGGTCAGGATATTAAAATGTATGCTATGTGAGGTATAATACAGCAGTACACAGTACAGATGTCTGTAATTTTTCATTTCTTGTCCTTAGTTCCCTGGATAAGCAGTGACTAAAACAGTGGTTTTCCTTACCCTTGTTAGAAAGTCCTCCTATGATGAGTCCAATACCATTCTTACTGCTTTCATGCAATAGCTTGTGCAGATGATGCTTTTCATGAGCTATTAACATCAGTTCATTTCCTGCAAAGATAAGTCCCAGGTGCTGTGCACTTGAGATTAGCACTGATTTCTGATTGTACAGATTTCAGTTATCTTGTTTTTTTCTTATTAAATTTTGAATATGTATTGCTTGCTTTCTCCTCTTTTTGCAGGCAGGAAGATTGGATATTTCTCATACAAGACCTTGAGCTGCACTTCAAGTCCTGCACATTTAAAATCTTGTGAATTGGCAAAGAAGCACAGACCATTTGGCTAAGTATTTCCTGCAAACTCCTTTCTCATCTGCGCTTGAAAGTGGCACAGCTTGCTCGAAACAGTAGCCATAGGTTAGGGTTGTAGAAAGCTGGGTTCTGTGTATTTTAGCTCATGCAGGGCAGAGTCGCTAAGTTTGTGCTTCATTTCCTCATTGGCTTCTTTGTGATTGCATCTCTTAGACCTTGGGCTGGAGTAAAAAGCAATGCAGTGGTGATGATGGCTGGTTTCTTTGCCCCTCAGAATATTGCTGTTATTATGGGGACTCGGGGCACAGGAACAGCCTGAGTTGTTAACTTGTTGTAGCCAGCAGCTTCTGATTTAATTGCACTGCCTAGCCCATGGAACTGATGTATCAAGCTTGCTTAGCTTTGGACTGCTCAGTTCAAAAGTTGCTGCTTTCTGTGCCTGTTTGGTTTCTGGGATCTTCATTGTTTACAAGGGGCCAGCAGTTTGTTTATTCTATGAAGCCTATCAAGTGTTCAGACTCTGCAGCAGTAAGCAGAACGGAAACACGAAAAATTAATGTAGTTTTTGATTGAAAGTGTGCCTCATTTCTTGCATCTTCCTCATTGGTAGTTTATCTTGCTTCAGATATGAATAAGTAGATTGACCAGTCTGCATAAATTTACTGTTGTGTGTGCAGGTCAGATTTGGAGGTGGTTGTTGCTGGTTACATACAAGGCCAGTTCCAGATGTACGCAAAATCAGCTTTGCCTTGGTGGCCTCAGTGGCAGCTTAAACCACAAAACTGTGCTTCAGACATGGTTTGTGTCCAGTTTTTCCCTTAGAGAATCTTTGGTGTCATTGTGAAAGGTAAGTGGTTGTGCAGAGCAGATTTGCTGATGATATCCAGAGCGATGCAAATAGTCCAGCTGCAGTTCAGAGATGTGGATTTTGTGCAGACAGATCTGCAGAGTTGAAATAGCTTGCACAAGTACCACTGCCCAGCAGCTGAGACCTTAAAAATTTTGACAAAGGCTCTGAACAAGTTCTCATGAAGGCACAACTCAATTCCAGGAGCTACAACCACATTTCTGTAAGGGAGTATGTGGGTACCTATCGTCATCCTTTAGCAGAGAGACCAAGCCAGTGCTCCAGAAGAAGGCCATGAGGACTTGCCCTTTTTACTGACAGGTGACTAACCTGCTTGGATCTCCTGGTTGGTGGCACAGAGCACGGCCTCACTTTGGGTTTCCTTGAGAGAGCAAATGAAGCTTTTTATTGCTCACTTATTTGCTCCTGGAAGTAATAAGGCAGGGTGAGGGAAGGCTGCCGGCATCCATACACACTGAAGGCAACAGAGGGACTTTGGTGTTTGCCTTAACTCCTATGGCCTCTACGGAAAAAACAACAAATTCAGCAAGGCCACTCAGAGGAGCTCCCTGTCATGCTTTAGAGCTGGGGGATGTATCACTGCTGTCCACTTGGGGAAAAAAAAAAAGAGCATTTGACTGTTTTCTGGGGAAATTCCTTTTTAGAATCCCTTATCTGGAACCCAGATTCCTTCCCTGTCCCACTGCACCTTGCAGATGCACGAAGTAGGCTGCTAGCTCACCCTGCAGGGTAACCTGGGAGCTGGTGGCCAACATTTCAGTTAGCATCTCTGTCTCTGATAGTGGTTTAGTGCTTACAACAGAGGTAAGCATAGAAATGCTTTTAGCCAATGGCGATACGCTGAAGCTATTTGTCTGAACCTGCAGCTAAAGCAGGGCAGATTTTTGGTGTTGTAGAAGTGACTCTTCTCCAAGTAGACCATAAATGGATGGACAATAGTGATAATTGGAGAGGGAGACAGACCTGCATGTGGCCAGTTAATCCAATTTGCTTGTGTTTGAGGTAGAAGAAGCAGCATTTTTCTAACTCTTCATGTAACCTATGCTGAAGTTTTCTAACTGCAGATTCTGGTTCAGCTTTTATTATAATAGTGAAAGAGAGGAGTAACAATGAACGAGCCATACGAGAAATATTTAAATGAAAGACTTCTCTAAAATACTGCTAAAGAGAAAAGCAGGCTTAGACAGAACATATAATAAAATTTGGCAAGAGATGCATCATTGAGAAAACATTGAGGAGAAGGGGAAAAGATGATGGGAACCCTCAGGGGTCAGTGACAAAAATGAAATGCAGAATCTAGCAAGAGACAACTGTGCTGTGAACAAATTAGGACAAGAATCATAGTTTTCCCTTTGTGCAATTTGCTTCTCCCAGAAAGCAGCAGCTAACTTAGCTGAATTTAAAAGCAAATGTAAAGCTTGATTAGATATTCTCTTCTGTTCCAGAAAATAGGGGAAGTTTTTCAAGTCACTGAGAAAGCAAGGGAAGAACTTCCCTCTTAATACAAGCACATAAGTGTTCACTTTTTCTTGTCATCTTCCATCAGACATATGAAAATGCTGGGCCATGAACTGGGTTGTCGATTACAAGCAGTAACTTTTCTTCATTTCTGGCCTTCTGTGTTTCATGCTATTTAGTCCAGCTGGAGGCTTTCTTAGTGGCTGAAGGAGGGTGAGGGTAATGTGAAGCACTTTGTCCTTATGCAAATAAATGTGGGGTAAATTGCCAGTGCTGAAAACTAAACTGGTTTGAGTTTGAAAACTAGGCCAATTTATTGCTTTATATGTTTTTTTCACTTACTATTACGGAAGGAGAACCCTTTTTGTTTCTTTTTAAAGAGCTTGGATGTCTGCTTGTATTTCTTGGGTGAATATGTGTTTCTTGCTTTGTGTTCCATTCCTGTTCTTTATACGTGGCCATTCTAGCATTTGAACAATGTCCTTTACTTGCACACAGCTTTACTCCATCTAATGGAAGGACTGAAGTTTCAGCTGTTTTGAGTGACATGGGTACTTAAAGACCTCTATGTTCTTCTTTTTGTTTCTCCAAGAAGTTTTATCTGGATTTGAAGTTGTATTCTGTGGGGTTTCCTTGTCCAGAGAACAGCTAACTGCATTAGTTTTACAAACTGCATGAAGTCTTCATTCTGCTGGGTTTTAACTGAAAGCAAAATTACCCAAAGCTCAATTTACTTTTCGAAGAGCACTGAACAGTTTCTTATGGAATGCTATTTTATAATAAAGCTATTTGTAATAGATATTCTGATTCCAGCTGCTGCAGCAAGTGTTGTGCAAAGATGTGCTTTCCTCTGATGTGTGTAGAATTGCCTAATTTTCTGAAAAATACAAGTTCCTAGTGCAGTGTTGCAATATTGTAATGACAGAATGTCTATTAGGCTAATTTTAATGATGATAAGTGTTGGATTGCAGTTTTTGTTGATCTTTGGGAAAAATCACTCCTGTCTTATTTTCCTTCTCTAGTGACATATTGAAACGCTTCTCACACAGAAAAATCTAGGTTGGAAGGGACCTCTGGTGGTCATCTGGTCTGATCTCCTGCTCAAAGCATGTTCAATTAAATCAGGTAAATTTTTTCTCATATCGAACTGGAATTTCCCACAAATCGACTTGTATCTGTTGCCTCTTGCTCTGTTGTTGTCCACATCTGGCCAGTCTACCCTCTGCCCTCTGGCTGTAACTTTGACAGTAGGGCAGCACTAAGGCCTCCCCTGAGCCTTCTCTTCTCCAGGCTGAGCAAACCCAGTTTCCTTGGCCTCTCATGCATCCTGTGCTGCAGCTCCCTGACCATCATGGTGGCCCTCCACTGGACTTACTCTAGCATATGTCCATGTCTTCCAGTTACTCAGGATACGATACCCCAGGTGTAGTCTCACCGGTGCTGAATAGAGAATAAGAAATGCTTCTCTTGATGCGCTGACTGCGCTCGTGTTAATTCAGGTTCCTGTCAGCTGAATTTTCCAGCTTATCTGAGTCCCTCTGGAGATCAATCTGCCCTTCAGCCTTTTGTCTGTCCCCCAGGTAATCCATGAGCTTGCTGCCAATGTGCTTTGACTAATTGTTTGGCTCTTTAAGGAAGATGTAAAAGAATATTATCCCAGGGTGCCAGCTGGACTTTGTATGAATGATATAACACTTTGAGCCTGGCATTCTAGTCAATTCTCCACACAGATTCTCATGGCGGCATTCATTGTAAGCTGCCAAGGATGGTAGTCTTTGGGATTAAGTATATTTTCAACTATAAAAATTATATTCTGAAAAGCTTGCTTTTGATACTTTGTATGCTTACAAGCCTTGCTGCAAAGACATGATTCTCTCTAAAATCAAAGATGTCTTAGAAATATGTGTTCTTTACTAATGCATTTCATATCCATAGGTATATATTTATTTGGGTGCGAGATGTCTGCCCTGAGGTTGATTTCTAACAGAACCTCCCAGCAGGCCTTGTCTAACTCTGATTACACCTGGGAGTATGAGTACTATGAGTATGGACCAGTGTCATTTGAAGGCCTGAAGGCTCATAAATGTAAGTTCAGTACAGATGTGTTTTATTTCAGCTGTGCTTCCTCATCTTAAAATTCTGCTCTTCACTCCAATTTTTTTTTTTAACAAATAGCTTATTGGATTATTGTAGTTTTTCCTTTTCTGATTTTTTTTTTTTTTTGACTGCTTTCCTTATGTATAGGAACACTGTTTGTTTCTTGACTGTATTAGAAATTCATTATTACTGGGGACTATCATGCTTCTAGGAACTGAAGTGTTTCATCTTGGTGCTATTTGCTGTGATCCATGTTGTTCTGTTCCTGTTTCCGTTAATGCAAAAAAGACATTAATGGGCAGCCTTACTGCTTTTGATTTTATTTCCTAAAAAATAAGTTTCAAACTTTCAGAGACTTAAAAGAAGAAAATTCTTTTTTTCTGAAGAAACTTTTTTCATTAGGAATTTCTTTATGGAATGTTTGTGCTAAATTCAGTGTCATCCAAATGCTGAAGCTGCTTAATAACTGTACAAGTAAAAAGTGAAGGACAGAGACCAGATAGATGAAACATATGTGTAGAAATTGAGAGATCATTTAGCTGGGACAAGCTAGTGCACAACAGTGTTTAGTTTGAACCTATACAATAGCTTTGACTTCTAGAAAATTTGTTTTTTGAGAGGGAGGGGAGGAGGAAAGGAAGGTAAGGGAGGTTAGTTTTTGTTTTTAATTAAAAAACAAAGCAAAAAACCAACCAACCAAAAAAAAAAAAAACAACCAACAACTAAAAAGCCCAGAAACTAACTCAAAACTATGGGATGCATTGCAAGCACTTTACCAAAGAGAAGCAAACCATCTTATTCCACTGCTTCTGAGCTGAGTACCCTGGTCAAGAGTTTGAACACCAATCTTTGAAGTAGTGAGGAAGGGCCCCCATCCAGTACTGGAGCTCTGGTCCGGGGTGGGGTGCACATTTCCTGCCTCGTTCACCATGATGAGGATTCAGACTGGGGAAAAGGAGTGCTTGCAGTGGCAGCTGGTAGCCCAGGGAGGCCTGTTTGCCATGCTTCTGCACAGCTGGGAGGGTTTTGCGGGGTACTGGGAGTATCAGGAGGAACCTGCTGAAGTTTTTAACATGCCTAGAAGGCAAGAACTGGAGCAAAAGTTGCTTTTTGACCCAAATTGTAGTTTACCTTTACAATTTTGGTTTTTACAATTTACAAAAATTGATGATGATTACTCTCTGCATTTTTACAAATGTTAGATACTTGAAAAATGTAGGTTAGCTTTTCTCATGTTTCTAATTTTATATACTTTTTTTCCACCTAATCAGAAGCCAAACCCGATTACAAAGATTAGCTGATGTGTGTAGAATCATTGAATTCCTATAATTGAAAGGGACTTCTGAAGGCCATCTAGACCAACTCCCCTGCAATGAACAGGGACACCACAGCTAGGTCAGGTTGCCCAGGGCCTGATCCAGCCTTGCCTTGAAAGTCTCCAGTGACGATGTCACTGGTAATGTCACACCAGTGACAGTGTGGGCATCCACCAAATCACTAGGCAACCTGTTCCACTGCCTCACCGCCCTCTCTGTAAAAGACTTTTTCCTTCTGTCTAACCTAAACGTACCCTCTGTGACCTTCAAAACATACCCTCTTTGAGCTTGAACTTATCCTCTTTGAGCTGGAAGATGTACAACATCTTTTTAGCTCTGTGTGTCAGAGTGGGATAGGATGAAAAAAACACAAATGGGAGTTACTTCTGGCTTGCTGAAGGTCTAGTGGCAAACCAAATCTTGATTGCCATTGAGCTGATTGCCATGCTGGGCATGGTAGCTCAGCTTTATTGCCTTTCTGCTGTTTGTAGAGCAGGAGGGTTCTGGACAACACTTATTACTGGGACAGAAGGAGCAATTGTTTTTCAGGTAGAGCGTGATACATTTATGAAAAAGAGAGGCTGACAGAAGTATTGAATCAGTGACTTTTTACTGATAGGTTGGATTTATGTTACTGCATGCATTCTCAAACAGGTTGATATTAATTTCATAAAACTGTAAATACATCCTATGCCTGTGTTGATGATGACATATCAATAAATTTCTTGTTCTGGATAACTTCAGCTGAGTTGGGCCTGTTGAGGAATTTGGAGGCAATGTGGTCAGACATTTAATTTAATAGAAATTGAAACCTGTGGAAGAAGGAGGAAAAGAGATTATGTTAAGATTGCATTGTCATGAAGACTTTGAATACTGACAGTGAGTTTTGGTGTTTTTTTTCAAACTACATAAGAAATCTTAAATCTCATAATATTTGGAATAGCTGAATGCAAGGTGATTTTCAGCCTATGTTGACAAAATCTTAAAATCTCTAGAGGCAGGCACCACAAATAGCAATGTTGCGGTTTTGTAGACATATCCCCACTAGGGAATACTCCATCTTCCTCACCTGAGCTATTCTAAGTTTTGCTTTAATGATAGAATCAAAATTAGTGATAGAAAACTGATGTGAAAGTGACGAGAGAGGCTCTGCTTTGGTGATCTGGCTTACAGCGTGAAGTTAAAAGGGTGTATTGGCTCATCTGTGTGTTGTACAGTGAGTTTTAATGAAGGAAGTTTTTCACACAGAGGGTGGTGACACACTGGAACAGGTTGCCCAAGGAGGTTGTGGATGCCCCATCCCTGGAGGCATTCAAGGCCAGGCTGGATGTGGCTCTGGGCAGCCTGGTCTGGTGGTTGGCAACTCTGCACATAGCAAGGGGTATGAAACTAGATGGTCATTGTGGTCTTTTTCAACCCAGGCCATTCTGTGATTCTATATAAAAAGGAATTCAGAAGCTTGTTTTTGGAAAGCAGAGAAAAACTTAGGTAAAATGATCAGTGGAGGTAAGTGTTCACAAAACAACCCAATACACAGAAAACATTTCTTTTTTAATACTTTTTGTTAAAAAAATGCATCTGCAAACACTGAATCCAAAATGATTCTGAAACTAATTCAGGGTTCATAATGCACAGAATTGCAGAAATAAACTCTTACCATTATGCTTGAAGCTAAAAGGGGTATTCCAAACTTTTTTTAAAAGTGTGCTGAGTGTCAGCATGGGGTGATTTTTACCTCGCTCTGCTTTCTATTCATCTTGAACACCTATACCTGAATCGCCCTTCAGTTTCATTATAAAGATGTTGAGTGGGAAGGATGTGGAAGAGCATAGATGGAGAAAGCCTTGCAGCGGGAGACTTGAAGCTAAACCTTCTTAGTGTACCAGAAAATGAGATTAAGGAATGACTTGATTGTGATAAAGTATTTTCACAGGGAGACAATGTTGAGTCACAGCAGGTACACTTCTACTTCACAGAGAAAGATCAAATGGTTTGAATTGATTTCCAGTTTCCAGATCTTCCTTTAACATGGAAGATGTTTCACAGTGGGTGCATGATTAACCAAGCTTCATGCTCTGTAGATTTGGGCTATGCTTACCAGCTGATTGTTGTCTGGAAATGTTTGTCCCACTTGTACCATCTCTACATCAAGTTACTAAATGTTTTGAGATTTGTTCAGAAGCAGCTCTAGGTCTACTGTAAAGTAATAAGCAGACTTAGATATGTTTTATGTAGTGCTGGTGATTTATGTAGAGATCCATTTGCTGTAAATGAGAACAGCAAGTATTTTTTCTGCATATGGACAAATGCCCAACATTTTAGGTAAGCCCAGGCAGAAGCTATAGCAAACTAGTTGAACTGAGTGTGGGATAAGATGCAATGGGCTTTTATTAGAGCAGGGGAGGCCTAATTGGACATAGGAAAACAGTAATAATAGCATTTGGGCTAGATTGCTGGTATGGAACCTTCCTTGTGAAGGTTTTTAAATGGGCTATACAGCTATTTCTCTAGAATGGATGAATTACGTTTTATCTTGCCATGAAGCAGGAAAGGGATGTACTAGGTTACTTCTAAGAGGCTTCCTTTCTGGAGAACAGTCAGACTGTCGTATTTGTATGAGGCTATTGCATTTTAATTGATTTTTTCACTTTTTGTCCAAATTCATTTGACTCCTTTGACACTGTGTTACAGTTTTCTGTATGAAAGTCAGAAACTCAAAAATTAATGTTCATTGTTGATATTTGTTGAGGTAGCAAATAGCAAATCTGTGTTTCCGTTTAATTTAGAAGCCTCTATTTCACCACTGAAAGGAAGCAAAATCTTCCTAGGCCTCAGTAATCCATCAAAAACTAGAAGCCTTGTGGTCTCAGAAGAGAAATCATTCAGAATAACAGTAACTCAGTGCTACAGGGACAGAGGTTTTTGCTGAAAATCAAATAATCCTCTAATCTGTGTGCTAGTACTGACATTGTTTCCAAAGCAATGCTTGAACATGGGCCAAGAATAACAAAAGGAGCTGCTCTTAGTTTAACAGCTAAGAGAACCCAGCCCCTTCTCTCTTTCAGCTTGTTTCTGATTTGTCTAGACAGAAGGAAAATCCAGGCTACAAAGGAGGGCTTTGGTATCCTTCCCCTTTTTTCCAGCCAGGAATAAGATGCAAATTTTTTGGAATTAGCAGTCAGACTGCAGACTTTCTGCAAGTGCAGGTGAAATACTGATCATATTGTTTTCTCTTTTTTGACAGATTCCATTGTGATTGGATTTTGGGTTGGTCTTGCAGTTTTTGTCATCTTCATGTTCTTTGTCTTGACCTTGCTGACAAAGACAGGAGCACCACATCAAGAGTGAGTCTGAAAAGTGAATGTGGCACCTCTGGTGTTTAGCAGTCCACCAGAGCAACCAGTGGCAGTGCTGAGGTTGTGCTGGATCTGCGCTGCCCTTTTCTGCTCCATTCTTAGGAAAGGCTGCTGTGTGTCTTTGTTTAAAATGTTTTTTGTTCCAAGCGTCTGTAGGAGAGCAATTTTGTAGAAGCACATGTTAATGCATTCTCTATTTAGCAAGTAGTATGTAGGCATGCAGTAAAGAAATTGGAATTACCACATAGATGCACTTCAAGGCTGAAAGGAAGGCAGTGGGTAGCCTGCCAACCACACGTGGCTTTAGATGACTGCTCCTTGCATAACGGGTAATTCAAACTAAGCTCACTTTATGATGGAGTGGAGCAGAGAAACGTAGCTATTGGCAAAGAGGATACAAATAAAATGCCATGCAGACACTAACTAGTTGAAGTCTGGAAGGTTTCATATGCTTAAGTCCAAAATGTAGTTATCAACTGAGTTAGCAAGATGTTCCCTTACCCTGTAGCTCACAAGCTTCCAAGTGTCTTGGTTCCTGCTGAAAAATTGCAGTAGATGCTGAAGACCAGATCCAGCTCCATATTTCTTAACACCAGAGTCCTCTTAGTCGCAATCTAAGCCTTTTTCCACTTCCTTCTGGCTCTTAAGTATGTGCAGACCATATCCTGGCTCAGCCATTTATCTGCAAGTCTCATACTTAAAGCAGTTGTGCAGCATCTGAACTCGCATTTCTTCCCCTTGGGTTTGCTTCTCATCAAGTAGAAATAAAAAGGCTCGTTGGAGGGTGAGAGGGCCTTACAGGCAGGTAGTAATCATGAGAAACTGATTGTGAGAGACAATTGCCTGCCTTTCTCTGCCTCCCGAGGATCCAGAGTTATTTAATCGTAATGTAGGCTGTGCCTGAAAGCTTGTGATAGCAGATCTCTAGAGGCAGGACCGTGTTACAGAAGACCTGCAGGTATTGTGAGCTCCTGTGCATTGATGCTTCTGTGAGAAAGAAGCAGAGACATAAGAATTCAGCTTTCCGGAACTGACTTGCTGAATTTTGTAGCTGGTATTTTAGCTTTCTTCATGCATTATTTCAAGTAAAAAAAATAAAGCTACACAATGCTACCAAATATATTTAATTTATGTAAATTCTAGCTCTTTTCCCTGGAGATTTTTTTCTTCATTGAACATCCAAGTCTATATCTCATATGCATAATACTAATGGGAGTTGAAGTGATGAAGTCAAATGCACGATAATTTTACATAGATATTTATCAAAATGGTTGTTTGCTTTTAAAAGTGAACTTTGAAGTAACAGAGGGCTGCTTGATATCTTCTGCACTTCTTCATCTGTATTGTTGGAACAGATTGTCTAGAGAGCTTGTGAAACCTCCATCTCCAGTCAGCTTCTGCATCTAGAGAAGGCCTCGAGCAACCTGGGCATGCCTTACTTTCATCAAGGCATTGGACAGTTCCCTTCCAGTCTAAATCTTCATGCTTTTCTTCAGCTGTTGAACAGACCCCACTCAATTTCTTTCTATATGTATTTTAAAATTTCTTTGCAGCCTTGAGAGCTATATGCTTGAATATTTTCCCACTTACTACATATGCTAAATTGGCACTTCTATCAAATTTGAGCACTATTTTTTATTTTTTAGATTTGGTATTTATAGCCTACTGTGTATGGTACTGCAAATAGAGTGTCCAAAAATAAGCTAAGAGTAGTGAGGTCTTGATGTCTCTTGTACAGCTACGCGTATATAAAGACTGGGGAACATAAATACCTGACTGTAAAAATAGAGTAGGCTGTGGGTTTGTTTTGCCTGCATCTTTCTGTCCTTAGGACTGACTGGATTCTCTATGACTCATGGCTTCATTTGTGGGCTGCCTTGCAGCTGTCCTTAAGAAATAGATATTAATGGCATCCCTGGGTCTCGGGAGGAAGCCATCCTGATTGATAGACATGGCTCTGACTTCAGTAAGTCAATTTGGCTGTTTTTAAAGTAACATTAATGTGAGAGATAAATGTAACGAGATTCAGATGGATGGGTCCAAAATAGAATACTCTGACTTTTCTAGTGATACTCTTTTCTCAGCTCAATATAAAGGGGTTTAATAGCATACTCTTCTTAAAATTATACAAGATGTTCAAGTTTGGATATATCCTCAGCCCAGGGGAAAGGTTCAGGGCATGGATGAGGAGAGGCAGAAATGTAATTAGTTACAGGAACAATGCCTTTAGCACTCTTCTTCTGTTCACTTGCATTAGTAGGTGCACAATACGGCTTGTGCAAAAAATAAAAAGCATTTTTTCTGTATATCTGCTTACTACTGTGTCTAGCAACCAGAGCCTGGCATTGCAGGCTGGAAAATTCCCAAAAGGGAGCTTAGTTCCCTGTGTTATTCATTGCCAATGAACCAACCATTTTGAGTGGTTTTCAGTACCTTTGACACTCAAGATGGCTGGTGTTCACCATCCTGCTCTTGCTGACAACTTCTGGAACTCAGAGTCCTTTTGGCCCCAATATTCAGTAGGGATTTGGTGCCCAAGTGGTTGTTCTCCCCGCTGTAATCCTCCAAGTATAAACCTGGGATTTGAGACTGCTTTTCTTGTTTTATGAATCTTCTAAATAGAACACACTGGCATATGTTTGAGTACTGTAATGGGAAGGACTATAAATGTTTCTAGTCTGGTAAAAAAAAAAAAAAAGTTCCTCACAGTACAGAAGGATAGTGCATGTGAATTTCAGAATCTCAAGGGATGACTATATACTAGACAATGTGTTCCTTACAGAATTATTCTCCATAATAAATTCTCAACATTTTGGTCATTTTAAAATTTATCTGCATCTTCTATTCATCCACTGAGATCAGACTGCTGGTGCCAGTCCTGGGTGCCCTTCTGTGCAGTGAGCCTTTACTCCTTCACAGCTTTTAGGGTTATAAAGGAATTTCCCTAACTATGAACTTGCTTTCTTCCTAAATCATTTCTTTGTGAGCTTATAATGTTTCTTCTTAATGTGCTTGCCAGCTTCACTCTGTCACAAAACCACAGAAGCAACTCACATTCAGAGTGGTGCTTTATAAATACATAATTGCAGTTATCTGTTCCAGAGGTTACTGCAGCATTGTTCTGTCCAGTTTGATTCCTGCTGGGTTTATAGTAGATTTTTATCTACTCCAGTCTTACATCAGTTTAAAAATTATGCTGCTTCTACACATTTCACTTTGAAATGCAGAATGAACCAACACTGTTTCCACCAGCTGGAGTGCTGTTTTGATTTGAATTCTAGCGTAACTGCTTTTGTTAGGCTCTAATTCTCACATCATGTAATGAAAGTAAATTAGCACTTGGGTGGTAGGGATCTCTGATTAACTCTGAGTGAAAGACTGATGGTGAGCATCCTCTGAACATGAAGCTTTAGGGATAGATTTATGAACATGCCAGATGAGGCTTTCAGAAGCCTCTGAGCTTCTGAAACTCTTCCAGCAGACTCTAGAGTGATCGGTCTGTGTTTCTCTGTAAGTGTTGCATGCACCTTCAGGAGTCCAAATATCTGGCTTCAGTAGCATCTGCTACTTGTTCACATCTTAATGGTATAATTTAGCAATGCTTACTTAGCAAAATAGTTATATCCTGAGAATGTTTGAATTTTTCACTACTCATCTCTGAAAGCCTTTATCGCCTTTCAGATGCAAATAACTTGCTTTTGGTGATGACAGCATATAAAGCCAGGCTGACAGAGAATGTATTGCTATCTGTAAAGCTTCATCATCTACCTTGAGCTTTCCTCACCCCCAGCTATTGAGGGCTTCTCACAAATCTATGTAGACTGCAGCTGTTCTGCAGAACTAACACTTCCAGAAAAGAGAGATGTCAAGATGTCTTTCCTGCACTATGTTTCTGAATTTTTAAGCCATCCAGTCCTTACAGCACTCTTCTAATTTGGAAATCTGAATGTCAGTGGCTGAGGTCAGTGTGAAAGGTGGTTTGATATCTAGACAATCAACCACCCAAATTATGTTTTTAATGACAGCAGTGTTGCCTATGTCTCTGAAAGTTTCCAGCTATCAAAGATTATTCTCACAGCCTTCTATGAAACGTTTATTTTAAACTTCCCCTATGAGGAAATTCTGTAGAGTAGTTCTGAGCTCATTCAGTGGTGTGAGCTGATTATTGAATTACACTGATGACTAGAAGTACCATTAAAGAGTGCTGGCATTTGTAACTTATTCCCATGGAAAATTACTACTCAAAATCGAGGCTTAAAGTAGCTTCAGTGGAAAATAATAAACAGTGCTGGATTGTAACTCTTATAGATGAGCTGAAGGGTTTTCTTTCTTCCTAGTTATAATAGTTGCTGAAACCAGACATGCTGCTAAGAATGCCAATAATTCTAAATTCATAGTCTTTATTTCATGTACTTTATTTTCCCTAGAAATACAGAATCTTCTGAAAAAAGATTTCGGATGAATAGCTTCGTGGCAGATTTTGGAAGACCTTTGGAGTCGGAGAGGGTCTTTTCTCGTCATGTAGCTGAAGAGTCCCGGTCACTTTTCCATTTCTGCATTAATGAAGTGGAACACCTTGACAAAGCGCAACAAAGTCAGAAAGGTCCAGATCTGGAGAGTAATATCCACTTCCAGGAAGTTTCCAGGAGCAGTGGAACAATGGAGGAGGACCTACATTGTCTTACAAAATTTAACATTCCTAACTTTGTGAACACTGAGCAGAATTCTTCACTAGGTGAGGATGATCTGCTCATCTCAGAGCCACCTAGAGTTTTAGAAAGCAAAATGGCCATGCAATCTTCTCATCGGATCCTTGACTGAAAATTTCTTAAGGTAAAAATTGCAGTTGGAAGCCCTTCTCCACCTTCTGGCTATTTTGGTAGAAGGTATTTCAGGCATGTGCTTTTTTTTTTTTATTGTATGTAAGAATGGCTGTGCTGACAGAACAGTCCACATGATAATTAAAACACTGAATGCTTAATTCCAGTGCCTCCTGTGGTCTAAGCCTCTTGTCCAGTGTTAGGTTTTCTTCTTGTTGGGTTGTTTTTTTTTGGTGGTGTTTTGGATTTGGTTCTGGTTTTAAATGACTGCCTACCTCCAGCTTCTGATGATACCATTATCTGTGGGGACTGTGAAAGCTGGAGGCTGTTTCTGGGGATGACCAAGAAAACTGTAACCCCAAACTGAAGCTGAAGCAACTATTAAGCAGGCAGCCTTGGGGAGCAGCTTCTGCCAATCCCAGAAAGACATCTGAAATGGAGCAGCAGAATGGACACCTGCATGGTATTAGCTCCTGCTTCTAAGTCCTACCTGCTTTTAGGTACAGGCGAGACCCAGTGTGCAAGCTTCCAGAGGGAATACCTCCTATCTTGAATGGATCAGTAACAGGGTTTACAAACTGATGACACCACCTGCTACTTGGTAGATAAAGCAAATTGTGGTCTGCAGTTATAGTACTTCAGTGTAACATTCTGTCAGTTGCTCAGTGATGCTCTGAAACCACTGATCTACACACATTAATGTGATTTTTATTGTTGATGTGAGATTTCAGTTGGATTAAGTGCATAATTCAATTGTCAAATCACAGGGAATAGCATGAAAAATATTCATCCGTTGCCAATAGAATTAACATGCCAACACCATCACTTATTTCCATGTAAGTTGTGCTTTGCTTATCAGCTGAGCCTTCACCTGCTTTTCAGCTCTGGGAACTCCTCTTTTTTGGCTGGCCAGACAGTGAAGGGCTGCAGGGAGACTCTGAGGTACTTTGAGGCCAGCTTTAAAGCCTCACTGTACTTGTTTCATCTTTTTCTAGCTAGCTGAGTGGTACTGCAACCACAGCTGTTTTCCCAGGCAAGGGTTTGTAAATAAAATGAATAGGTATAATTTCAATCCTTAAGTTCTTTTTTTAGAGGAGGAATAAGGTTCTAAACCTTAGCCATTCATAAATTTTTGGGCAGCTTGCTTGCAGAGTTGGTTAATTAACAGCCAAATGGTTTTAGAGCAAGCACACTAAGCACAGAAGAGGTTTGCTGAATGTGGAGTAACAGCGCTTTGCAGGAAACTCCTAGTTCACACCAAACTAGAAGAGTCAAGATCATGTGTCTCACTAGGTTTTTCTGAAAGTAATCTGCTTTTTATGTGACACCTTTTGCAGTGAAAATGTTGCAGTGCCTTCTGATAGGTTGTTCAGAGACATTCAAATGAATTAAATTCTTTTAGATTAGGTGTCAGGAGGCTTTTCACTCAGAGGGCAGTGAGGCGCTGGCACAGCTGCCCAGAAAGCTGTGGGTGCCCCATCCCTGGAGGTGCCCAAGGCGAGGTTGGATGGGGCCCTGGGCAGCTGAGCTGGTGGGGGGCAGCCCTGCCAATGGCAGGGGTTGGAGCTGGGTGGCCTCTTGCAGTGCAGAAGAGGCTTCCGTTTACAGTAAGTACTTAACCAGGAGTAGAAAGACTATAACTGGGAGCTTCCCCCCCGGTATAATTCTTGTCCTTTCCTTATCTTTTCCTCAGTGTTTTTTAGCTTCTGCAACAAGCTACTGCTTAGGCACTGTGCAGACAGCCCTGATACTTCATGTGTTCAGAAGGCATCATGGCACAAATGGATGTGCTATCCATCTCCCCCACACGGCTCTTCTTACATAGGTGTTCTCCAGTGAAGTCACAAAGTCTGCCATGAGTGTGGTTCTTTGGATCCCAATTATTTTGTAGTGAAGTTTTGGCTGAAGCTGAAACTTTTCATTGTAGTCTATGTACATGGAGGAAAACTCAACTTGTCAAAATCAACTAGGGCAATCCATCACCTCCTCTGCAGAGAAACTCTTGGTGGTTCAGCAGTAAAATTCATCTTCACTCCACCACCTGAGGGCAAACTGCAGCCTTCCGAATGCAGCCCTGCTTCCTCCTGAGGGTGCTCAAGTGTCTCTGCTGCCTAATGGTAAAGCTTTTGTCTGAACTGAAGCTCAAATGTGATAGAGTTCTTGCTAAACGCAGCTTTTATTGCCTTCTTCTGGATGAGTGAGCTGCTTTCAATGACATTTGATATATTGTTTTCCTTTATCATGCTTGAAAACAGAAATGCTGCTTAAGTAGGGAAAAACCTGTGCAAAAGGAATTATCCATCTCTTTGGCTATTGAGAAATGAAGCTTACTTTGAAAGCATTTAAAACTACTTATCAGTCATGCAGGCTTCGCTCTAGTAAAAACAAAACTTGTTCTTTGCTGTAGTCTAACTAAAGCTTTTCTTTTCCCACCCTAAAACTTCAAACCTTAGGTGCAGAATTGCTACTTCTGGAGAGAAAACTATGTGACACAATGCCTGAATGAGAGGTACTTAATCAAATGATAAGGGCTAGCACCAATTGAGCTTACTACATGTCTAAATTGCACTCCTGGTGCAACTTCTGAAGCATGAGTTAACCATGCAGGGATAATTAAGCATTCAGTTCCTGCTTCTGTTACTCTACTTTTTTTCATCTTTCCACCCTTCTGTCTTTGCAATGCCCTCACATTCCTTTTTGCAGCAGAACAGCCTGAGCTTTGCACTTGCTCTTGCATGACTTCAGAAGCACTGTGGCACCAATACAACTCGATTCAGCTCTTTCCCTCTACATCAGGGCAACAGTCAAAAGCAAACACAGAAACTTTCTAGAGTCCTTTAAATCAGTAATTTTGAAACCATTCTTACTTTCATTTTCCTTTTTAATAGACAAGATGTTTGTCTGATAGGAAAGGGTGCTGGTATAATAATCAACTTTGTGTATGTTTAAAAAAAAAATCAGCATCTTTTCCCAGAAAATCAGCATCAGGCAAAGGAAATAGTTTGAGGAGGGTCATCGTGCAGAAAAAAGTATTTGTTGTTATGTTCTCCTAGGACAGAGCTGTTTTTCTTCACAGTGTCTGGTATGATGCTGTGCTTTGGTTTTAGCAGAAGAACAATGGTGACAACGTGCTGGTGTTTCTAGTTGTTGCCTATTAGTACTGTACAGAACCAAGGCTGTTTCAGTTTTCTCAGCTTCTTATACTGTAGTACCAGCAAAGGAGCTGGAGGGTTGGGGGGGGGGAGGCAAAGAACTGAGAGGAGACAGAATCAGGACAGCTGACCTCAACTGGCTGAATGAATATTCCACACTAAGGGACAGAGTTTAGTGGGGAAATATTGGCAGTAGGTGGATGGTTGCTTCCTTTTGCACAACAGGGATGTAGCTAACAGTATGAAAGGTTACACGTAACACTTTGCAGACATTTTTGGAAGCAACATTTCCAATCACAGAGGCTCCCCCTAGGCTGACCTGTCTTTATGTCCTTAAATGCAGCGTATTTACACACAGCTGGTATTTCACTTACATAGTGTTGTATTTACACATTTTATGAATGTACACTAATGCATCAATGCCCAGCCTTTTGGCTTGCATAGGCTGCACTGAGTGAAGAGGAATTGTCTTGGGCTGCATATATGTCGGCTGCTCTGAAAGAAATGTCTCCTATTTATTTCCACAGAAATTACAAGAGACAGTAACACCAGTTGATATAGCAAATTCTCAGCTACAAGAAGCTCTTTTTCAACACAGTCACAACCATTAGCTCTGCATTTTTGCCACCAATGAGCAAGAGCACCAGCAGAAGTGACCCACTGTCACCACTACTGAAATGTATCACCCACCACCTCAGTGTGCTCACATCTTCTACTTGGCCACCATCAATGCTCAGCAAGTGTTGATGAATATCAGTGAATGCCATTTTTTCTGCATAGAGGAATTCAATGACACAACTTTGCTTCATCCATATGCACTTCCATGTCAGATGCCATTTTGTCAGACTGCCCCTCTGCTGCCATCTGTCACACAACAACACCACATACCAGAATGTTGGTGGGAAGGTTCAACTGTCATACCACTACCAGCAACCTCCTAGGCTGACATAATAAACCAGAAGGCATTACCTTCAGAGCAGCCCTCATAAAATATATAATATAGTGAATATGTAAGTAATACAACAGTTTAGTTTTTAAATATTTTATTAAAACGTAAAACAAGGGAGCAACAGAACCATAAAAACAGTGGGATATCTGACTTTGTTTTTGCAAAATTAATGCAATACCCTGGTTTGAGGGCAGTGGTTTCAATTCTAAGTGAGCTCTGAGGGCATTTCGCAGAGATTTTTGATGGAATTTTACTCCTCCTGTGCTTCATCCTTGGAAATAGTTCTTCACAAACATGCAAACTGCCAACCAGCAATGACACAAATAAGGCAGATTGTGAAGTGAGGGGTATTTCTACCTGAGAAGACTTATAAAAGTCTACTGGAGAGACATGATCAGAGTTTTGAGTTGAATATCTGCTTGCAACTTTATACGTTCCATTTGAAAACCTGCAGGTCATGCATTCACGTTACTGAAATGGAGTCACGAAGATACCAAAAGAATGATAATTTTTTGGCAATCTTGGAACTACTCTCAAATCCCTGTAGCAGAATGGAAAGCATGGCTGTGTATTTTTCACTGTTCACAGGGCTGTGTTTAGCCAATGTATCAAACCACATAAAAGTACTGGCCATAACTTGAGCAGACACAGCAGTACGCCCTATGCCCTGCTTTCAGCCCAGATAAAGATGGTAGTGCACTGTTGTTTGGTTGTTCCTGAGCAATGGACAAGCCTGAGCAAACACTTCATCATCTGAGGAGAAAACATCTATAATTATTTTCAACATTTTTAGTAAACATCCAGAAACATCCGGAATTAGTATATGAATACTTTACCACCTTTTATATATATACACACACACATATATACACACTTGCATATAGACATACATGATTTGAATGTGTGCAGTCAAAAAAATTTTGCACTGTTAATTACTGCCTGTGCCTATCTGATATAACTGGTACTATCTAAGCTTTCTGCACACTCACGCACATGCATCTCTAAGTCAAAATGCATGGTCTACTGCTGGTCCCTAACAAA